GCACTTGACTGCTAACCACAGGTAGGCAGTTCAAACCCACCGGCTGCTCATCGGAAACCCTATACAGGGTTGCTATGAGTCAGAACCAACTCCACTGCACTTAACAAAAACAACATATACATTTATTGTTGTTAAGTGCTGTGGAGTCGGTTTTGACTCTTAGCAGCCCTGTAGAGGGTTTCTGAGGAGCAGCTGGTGGGTTTGAACCACCGATCTTGCGGTTCAGTTCATTGTCCTGCAGGACCATGCACTTGTATGTATGTTGTTTTGTCTTTGTTAGGTGCCATTGAGTCAGCTCTGACTCACAGCCATCCTATGCACAACAGAATGAAAACTGCCGCTTCCTTGCCAGCCTCCCGGTTGTTGCCTTGTGTGAGCCCATTTTGCTGCCATCATGTCATCAATCCATGTTGCTGGGAGGTTTTCTTCTTTTTCGCCAACTATCCACTTGGCCAAACATGATTTCCTTCTCCAGGGCTAGTCCCTCCTGCCAACAAGTCCAAACCAAAGAGACAAAGTCTCACTGTCCTCACTTCTAAGGGACAACCCTGCCATTCTTCTTCCACGTAGATACAATCAGTGAATTGTATACGTCCATTTTATGGGTTTTGCTTCTCTAGTGAAGCCTGCCTAGGACAATACTTCACTGATTTTCCTCCTTAGAGAACCCAGCCTAAGACATTTATATATATATTCTTCTTCTTCTTGTTGTTGTTAGGTGCCATTGAGTCGGCTTTGACTCATAGCAACCCTGTGCACAACAGAATGAAACTGCCCGATCCTGCGCCATCCTCAGTTCCTACACTTGAGCCCATTCCTGCCGCCACTGTGCCATTCCATCTTGTTGAGGGTCTTCTTTGGTGCTGACTCTACTTTACCAAGCATGATGTCCTTATTCAGGGACTGGTTCTGCCTGATAACATGTCCAAAGTATGAGACACAAAGTCTCACCATCCTGTCTTCTAAGGAGCAGTCTGACTGCTTCTTCTAATACAGATTGGTTTGTTCTTCTGGCAGTCCGTGGTCCTTTTAATAGCCTTCTCCAACACCATAACGCAAATGCATACCACATTTGATTTATCCATACATCTGTTGATGGATTCAGGTGGTTTTCACCTTTTGGCTATTGTGACTAGCTACAGTGAACATTAACATAGAAATCTCTGTTTCTGAGCGTTGGGGGTTTTAAACCTAGGAGTGGAGTGCTACTTCATACCTGACTTTTACAGCTATGTATATTAAGCATTTTTTGGGAAAAAGTAATTTTTAAAGTAACATTTAGCTTTTTGCAAATATATGACCTATGTGTGCCTATTGTTATTTGTGAAAATTTAATTTTTTTCTCTACATAAATGTTAGGGTAAAAACCTGGGGATATTTTTCATGAGTAAATATTTTCAAAGAATAAATTTGAAATATACTGAAATTGTTTTATTTCACTGAAGTTGAGAAGCATTGTTGTTTACAATTCTTACTTTGTATTAAGTAAGATTTATATTTTATATCCAAAGAAAGTACCTGCAAAAATATGGCACCAAAAATATGTAAATACAGCACCAAGCATTCTTCCCACACACCGCTTTCTCAGCTGGTTTCCATAAGTCACTGTTACAGCCACACAATACTCAGACACCCTGCTCAGAGTTGGCGGTTGAACAGGGAAGTTAACGTTACAATTTTGGTTCAGAAGTGCTCAGGGCACATTTGTTCCTGTCATCTGCTGATGTATGCCCACAGGACACACCACTCGACCCTAAGCGTCAGCCTGAAGGCACTTGGCTCTAGCTCTGTGAGTCAGCAATCTGCACTCACCACCCCACCCGCCACCCCCCCACTTAAGTGCCTGAAGTCACCTCACTCTTCAAGCCTGCCTCCTGCCCAAAGTCACTCGGCTGTACTTGCTCCATGGGCTGGGACGTCCACGGCTCTGTCTCATGCTCTGGCTCTTTGTTCTGCTGTGGCCGCTGCACCTTTGCCCCTCCTCCGGTGTCACAGCTTTCTGTCCCTGGATCAAGGAGACTCACAGCACAGGGATCTCAGCTTCCGCTCCTGACTCTTCTTCTTCTTTTTTTTTTTT